GGGGGGGGGGGGGGGTGGGAGCTCCAGGAGAAAGAGTACAGAACAGTAGGAGGAGGAGGAGGAGGAGAGAGGAGCTCTCGTGGAGGAAAAGAGCGCGTCGCGGACGGGCCCGACAGATGCCTTCCCACGTTTTTTCGCCGAGACATGTGCCCGGCGCGGCGAAAGGGTTGAGAAATTCAGTTGCCGGCCGGGTGGGGCGGCAACGCCGGCAAAAAACTGCCCCACGATACAAGATTCCGCCGGTAATCGCCGCGCCGCCGCGATTCCAGCGCGAGGGGTGAATTCGATTAACGGGCACGGGGGTCGCGCTCTTTTTCCCAGATCAGGCGGCCTTTTTTCACTTGTGTTCCTCTCTAATAACCGGCACGCCACGACGGAGCCGACGCGCGTGTGTAAACAGTGCGATTGTTCGTACGTGATCGCTTGTATGAGAAAATCCTCCGCCCTGATATCGCTCACCACTCCCTCCCCCCTTCGTGATGTCTTTACTCGTCGAGTTTTTCGATTCATGACTATAGATTTCTTCCGGTCTTCCATCCTCCGTCGTTCCTATGCGAAGATCGTCGTTCTCGGTCGTTTTCGGTTATGGCATGGAAATTGCGTCTCCGCTCTTCCTCTCTCCCTCTCTCTCTGCTCTTTCTCTTTCTCTCTCGTGAGAGACGAGCGACAGTCTTTCAGTCCTTCCGGATCGGTCGGTTTTTAATGTCAATTTCGTGTCGATAAGCGTCGTATGTAAGAATCCAGAGGCGAAAGCAAGCACAAGCACCCCGAAGGATCCCGCAGGGAAACTATCCAAAGCCACCCTCGATACATTGTTTTACGAGGAGATAGATGCGCTATCTACAAGAGAGAGACAGGGACCGCGAAGTTCGCAGATTCGCAGACCGAGGGATATATCGTGAGACGCGCGCGGAATGTTCTCGCGCGAACTCGCCGGCTCGACGTGGCGTTTTATTAAGCTCGACGACACGTCGACCAGCGCGTCTCCAGCGACTGACTGTTTTAACTTGGCTCGAGACACATCGATTATATAGGGAGCCCTCGAAACGGAACAAAGGAAACGGCGGACAAAGAGCGTTCGAACGGGAATCCATCTGTACAAAGTATCGAGGCAAGCGTGAACCCACCACCACATGTGCGTGCGTACGAGTAAAACTGAACGTGTCGAACGCGCGCCCGAGAAAGAGTTAATATAGAGATATACATATACATATTATCGGTCGGTTAGAGGAGAGCGATCACAGCGGCAGTAGACGACAACGCGTACGCGCCCGATCATCATTCTCTCAAGTAATACGTGCGTGTACGAGCGAGCGAGAAAATCCGCGAGATTCAATCCACCTTTCTTTTTTTTCTTTTTTTTTTTTTTTCCTTTTTCTTGCTTTTCCTCGGCCGTTTTATATCCGCGAGATACCACTCTCTCTCTCTGGTTATACCGGCACCGCGTAACACAGCGAATTGCGAGTTGGACGTCGGATTTGGTACATACATGACTGACCTTCGACGTGTGGGTACGGAGGCTGGACTCCGTGGCGAAGCCCTTGCCGCAGATGTTGCAGTGGAACGGCCGGTTCTTCGCCCGCTCCACCTGAGCGTCGTGATTCCTCAGGTGTTGCTGCAAATTCGACAGTTGGATGAAGGCCCGCCCGCAGTCCGGTAAATGGCACTTGTACGGTCGTTCACCTGCGATCAGATACCGTAAGGCGGCATTAGAATTTCGTGCATTAGAACGCGAGCGTACGTAAATTGTGTTACGGTCTACTGTACGGCGGTAGCACGTAATGGCCGCATACACGCTCCCGATCGGGAAAGCCGGTCATGCCACCGCGATTTTCCCTCTCGCGATTTCGGGCTTTCCTCCCGAGAGACGCTGCGAGAGAGCGGGTCGTCGCCGGGAGACCCGCCTCTTAATCGCGCGTCCTTTAAAACGGCTATGCACGGATTAACAGTTGAATACTCGAAACGTCGTGGCGAGTGAGCGACGATTATCGTAGGGTACACCTTTGCATTTATAGCGCGGCCGCCGCCGCCGCCGCCGCCGCCGCCGCCGCGTTTCCTCATTATTATTATTCGTAATCGCGTGTAAAGCATTCGTGCTCCCCACGGCCGCTTATATACCGTTTACTTTAGATTGCCGTGTAAAGAGTAGGTATCATTTTCCCGCGAGAGACATATCGTACATTCAATATTAACCGCGTCCTCGTCGGACTACGCGACGAAGATTGATGAAGAGATTGAAATGTCATTAATGACTTGTTTGTCAGCTCGCCAAGTATGTCTCTCGTTTCCTCGCGCTCTCGCTCTTAAAAGGCAAAAGAGCTATGTGAAAAAACGCGCTTAGGAAATGAATTGGCTGGTCAGTGACTCTCGGCTCTTTTTCCCGTTATTCCTCTCCTTCTGTCTCTCTCTCTCTCTCTCTCTCTCTCTCTCTCTCTCTCTCTCTTTCTCTCTTTTTTTTTCCCCACCGGCATGCAACAGGTTTCTACGTCTACATCGAAGAGAGTAGGTGGGAAGAAAAACACACCGGCATTTTTCTCCGCGCCCGCGAGCGGGCGGGAAGGCACGACGGCGTCGACGAGTGCGTAAATTGGAGGCGTTTAACGCGCAAAGTATTTCCCCCATGCAAATATGCGCGCGCCAGAGCGTTGTTTATGGTGCTTGAAGAAATTTCCGTTTACTTGAAAATGCGATTATTTAAACGCCGCCCTGGCTTCCACCCGCGTAATAATAACGCAGCGCGCTGTGTAGCCTCTCGATCGTTTAATCGTCTCGATCGATCGGCATTCGAGAGGCAGACTTCAGCTGGCGCGTTGCGTTTTTATTGCGTTTTTTCTCCTCCCTCTCCACGACTCGCCGTTCGTCTCGAGTGGACTCGATTCTAATTCCCACAAGCGATTGGCTCAATTTAACTTTTATTAATATCGACATTCTTCCCCAATCCTTTTTACCCCGGGCACTTGTTCCTTCTGCTATCTCTTTCTCTCTCACGCGCTCTCCCACTCTCTGTCTTTCTCGCTCCCGCCGTCTACCTCTTCTTTTCCTTACACACCCGGTCGCGTTCTACGGGATTCATCTTTTATTCAGTCGCGTGATTCATCGGAGAATTTCATCGTGTTCGATTTAATAAAAATAACTCGAGCGAGCAAAATTAGATTCTGCAAATCTTTTATCGCGCCGCCGATTGGAATTTCCGGCCATGAGAGGAAAACGCGCGGCGGGCGTGAACGTCGAAATGTATTTTCAAACTTGCCGGCTCGTTTCCTATCGAATGAGAGAAAGAGAGGGATGATATATACGCCTGTCTCTCTCTCTCTTGCTCTGAGCGATAAAAGTCTGGCTGGATTTTATAATGATACCGGCGTGGCGCCGACGGGACTATTATTAGAGGAAGCGATTTCCTGGATACAACAAGCGACCTGATCGCTCGTATTTATTTCCCACGCGAAACAAGTGCAGGGAAGAAGACACCGCGCGCGTTCGCGAAGGCTTTCACGGTGGCGGCACACCCCGCCGCGTGCGTAACGCTAATACGTTAACTTATTCACGAGATCGGATTCCGCTTCCGCGTGTATTCGTACACACTCGCGCACATAAATTCTGTGTCCTCGCAGTTTTGCCCGCGCATCATACACGTCGCGTTACGACGTCGAATTAATAATCGCGCGCGACTCTATCGTCGGGGGCGCGCGAGGGAAGGGCAAAATCGAATGCACCTGCGTGCGCGGGCGAAGCCGAGCGACGCGTCGGCACCGCGTAAGAAACGTCTCGGCGACTACAAAGAAATTTAATTGCGCGACAAAAGAAAAACGTCAGAAGGCGCTATTGGAATTTTTATGAAGGGTTTTCCTTCCCTACGGCTTTTCCCTCCCTCGAGAGAGACCGTATGTTTTCTGTCGCGCTACAATTAAAAACATATTAATACGCCGGCCTCGGCCGCCAGTCCGGGTGGTTTCTTATTGTCGGCGCTTAATTGACGGTTGAAACATTTATTTGTAGAAACGATGAGCTCGCCCACGTGTACGTTCGCACATACGTAATATTCACCTTTTTTGTGCGCCTCGCGCTTCACCGGAAGCGGCAAACGCGGCGCGAAGGGAGTTACACTGTGCAATACTTCTCTCCTTCTTAGTTCATAAAAGGGAGATAATGACATAGAACGGGCCGGCTCATCCGTTTCTATGAAAATAGTCAGTTCTCCCGCTACTATTACGCGATAAACGCTACTATGTACGTCCGCGCGTACGATCGCGCGTTATTAAACGAAAAAGAACGTTGCAATAAGACACGCGCGCGTATATACAGGATGCGGCATTCAAATTGAGGCTAAATATGTACATAAAGAAAAATGAACAAGAAATGGGCAAAACGGTTTCAGGAGGACATGTAATGATTGGACCTTAAAACGCCAAAATCTTTTAAGGTCACTTCGTACTTTATAAGTGGAATCATGTAGTTTTCTTTTGAACGCAAAACGATTGTTAGAGTCGCTCGAAAAGTCGATACTTTCCGAGATACTTTACATTTTATCCTGATACTTTTCTGTACAAGATGCGAGATATATCTTAAAATATTCACCTCTCAATAATCCTGTCTTGATACTTTTGTACGTGGGATGACGGATAAAATTGATTATGACAAAGGAAAGAAACCGATACCTTAAACGAAATTCGATTACACTTTGCAGATTCACTGATGCATCGTGTGTGCAGTGTGCATAATTTCGTATCACCGATCGATATGTTTCTCGCCATTCATACGCACAAAAGTATGAAACTGAGATTATCGGGAGATGAATATTTTATGAGATATCTCATACTGTGAAAAGTACCAAAATGAGATGTAAGATATCTCGGAAAATGTTCACTTTTCAACGATTTTATTCCGGTACTTTTATACGCAGGATCACTCGACCTGTGTTTAAAAAAAGCGATAGAATTCCATTTTAAAAGTTGAAACTGATTTTAACAAGACCTTGACGCGTCCGCTACAAGCTCAAGTCCCAACAGCACCATCATAAGCCCCCCTGAAATTCTACCAATGTTGTCTAAAACATTTTTTTATTTTACTTTATTTTTTTATAAATTCAGGAGTCATCTCAATTTCAATGACAGCAGCCTGTATGTATCTATGTATGTATTGGGATAGCATTGGGATTTCGAGCGTGCGGTTGGCATTCATTTTTTAGCGTTTCGTTATCGATTAGTCGGCCGTGTCATTCACGAAAGAATTAACCGGCAAATGCGTAACCGGCGAACGCGGTCGTTTGTGTACAGTATATTGTGTTTACCGGCGTTTCTTCAATTCTCATCGAGCTCCCTGGCTGATTTCGTAAGCATGTCGAACAACGCGACAACGCTGTTGTTGCGGCGGCCTATTAATGATGCACTCCCGAGGATCGATGACCCCCGCGGTAAAGTTTCCACCGAGGATCAGAGTCGATGCTTTCTTTTTTCAGCGCAGTTGAATAATTATTCGTTGCGCTAATAGCCTCCTATTCGTAATAATTTGCGTGGCATCGTGCGGAGCGGCGCGCTAAGAGTTATGATTAAATTTAAAATCTCGCGTGCGAAACGGAAGAACGAGAGATGGAACAACGTGGTGGAGAAAGGGGGGCAGAGGGGGGGGGGATCACCCGCTCGAGGTCGCCTCGTCGAAGGGTCTGGCCCCTTCTCTCCCCCCGATACTCTCTGGGAGACCCTTTGTCGAGCGCAAGAATTACGAATTGTAAAGAACTTTTGACGAATCGGTGCACTTGGCCGGGCATCCGTCCCGTCGCATTCGGCATTTTCTCCTCGTTGACTCCTCTCTCGCGCTCTTCGTGAAAGTCCGATGATGTCCACGCACGTGATGAAATGGGACGCGTTTACGGCGGTGCGCCAAATGGCAATAAGCACGGGATTATTGCGAGAGAGGCAGAGAGGTTGCAATTTCGTACTGATGGAATTTACAATTCCAGAAATAATCAATCGCGCATTCTTCTTAATATGTCGCGCTTTAATATTTCAAAATATTGCTCTAGCACGCGTAGGCCGGTAAAATATAATATTTGCCGCGCGTCGTATTTTCGTGCAAACCATAAATTCTAGCCGTCATTTCGGAGCCTGGACAATTTCAATTTTATTCCATTAAAAATCGTGATCATTGTTGCACGAACGAATTTATCGCGCCAGACATTCTACACGAATTTCAACATTTAATTTTGACGTACGGTTACTACCCTCGAGCTCCCTCTCTCTCCCTGTCTTTCTCTCTCTTACTCTCTCTCTCTCTCTCTCTCTCTCTCTCTCTCTCTCTCTTTCTGCTCACCCGGCTTGCCTGCAGAGCCAGCCAGCCTGCCTGCCTCTCCCTGCCAACACCCTCCAACCCTCTCTCGCACTCTCTCTTTCTCGACCCTTTCCTCTCGCACCCTCGCTCTTCCTCATGCGTTGTGGCGTTCGCACAAATCATTTTCGGAATATTAAACACCTCTGACAGAACGTCCAATGATTTCCCACCCCGTTCGCCCTTTCGCCGCTTTCGACCCTTTGATGCCGAGCCGCGCCCGGCCGCGAGACTCTTTCCGCGAGCGGGATTTCGCGCTTTCGCAGATTTTCGTCACCGTGCTTTTTACGTCGCTCTTTTTTTCCTGCCGCCGCCGTGGCGCTATATCCCGCCGCTCCACTCGTCAAAATCACCGGGCTCGC